AAACAAAACGTTTTGTCAATAAAACCCTTTATATGCAAAACCGAAAAATCGACAGAATTTTCGTATTTATTCGCAAAGAGTTGGAAAACAAGGAAAATGCGATCAAAAGTTGTTTTATTCAATCAAAGGCTGTATTTGTGTTCAATCTTTGCATACATTTATCAAATCGCGGATTACTTGAGACGACATAAGCTATAGATAGACTCAATCATCACAAAAGTATTGAATATCATGTCTTGTATTCCGTAATTGAATTTTTGTCAAACATTTTCTCATTCAATGTCTGAAAATCACCACAAATTTGTATTTAACTCGAAGTGAGTTCGCTTTTGAAATCTGTTGTCCAAAGTCGACATCAATTGTGTCTTTCTTCGCAACAAAGACCGGAACTAAAGTGAGATAAACTCCAAAATTTATACACTTTGTGTTGAAATCATTTCACACTTCGAGACGTTTGTCTCAAACCATACGAAAGCCGTTCACAAAATCTGATTTAATGATAATCTATTGTTTTTCAGTCTCTTATTATTGACTTCTTGGGAACAGTTTTCCACAGTTTTGGAGTTTGTAATAACGAGACTCTACTGAAGGGCTGAACGAAAAAAAGAAATATTTTAAACTAAATCTTATTTACTTTTCTTAACAAACATTTGATCACATATTTCTTGAGATTTCTATCAAAGCTTTCCTACAATGCGTTTATTCCGAGTGTATTATCACCCAATTCTTACTCTATATATTGATTAAAGGCTTCTCAATATAAGGCAAACAGTTTTCCCACTTATTTCTAATAATAACCAAATAATAGTCAATAAACTTATCACTGATTTATGACTCTTTATAACGAAATTTAATCAAAATACTTGTAATTCCTGTGATAACTGCACACTAATAGACAGACACATAAAAAACTTTGAATAAAACCCAAAAACTAATGAACAGACAAAAGAAATATTTTGCGTGAAATTGCGTTAAAACCAGACGTTATGTCGGATTCAATGGAAATGAATTCAAATATCGATTCCTTCGACGAGAAGAGCATTGAATTCACGGCAATAGAGGACTCTCTGAACCCTTGAGTCGAAAGAGTCAGCGATTGTGAGACCGAAAAAAGCGACAAAAACTTGTGCCCAAAACTCTATTCCCTCGAATTGGATGTCTTCCAACTCGTCCTCCAACTCACCGAAGATGTCGATCACCTGAAACACATCCAACAGGTCTACGACCCGACCGAATCTCGCGCCTACATTCACATCGACTTCGATGGGTTGGAGAGCGCGTGGAAGGCCTTCCGCCTCTTAGACGGCTTCGTGTGGATGGACGCCGCGCTCGACGTCTATTGGAGCGGACTTTTGCGGCCGCCAGAGGACAGGACTCGCGTCTCGTTCTACGTCTTTGTGGGCGACTTGCGGACAGACATCGAAACACCACAACTCCTGCAGGCGTTCTCTTCGTTCGGACGCGTCTTCGACAGCATTGTGGTGAGAGATAAAGAGACCCTTTCCTCCCGGGGCTACGGATTCGTGGCGTTTGACGACAAGGAGAGCGCACAGAAAGCCGTAGACGTAATGAACGGTCGGTTTCTGAAGTGCTTTGTCGTCGAGAAAGAGACGATTCGTTGGCATTTCAAAGACTCGTACGAAATGATTGGTTTGCTTTCCCATCGAAACAATCGCACGCTTTGTGTGGAAGGACTGGAAGCGCGTCTTCTGTGCGAAGAGTTCATCAAAATTCTGTTCAAAGAGTTTGAAGTATTCGCCGAAAAGATACTGATTTACGAAAGAAAGGCTTTGATTGGGTTTCGGACGCGAAATATCTGAGGAATAAAATATGCGTTCATTTGTTTTGACATTAATTACAATTATTGTAACGAATTCTGTGATAAATAAATAGATTTTATTGAATCAGTTTTGGAGACATTGTTCGGCAATTGTTTTGGTCTCGTATTTCATATTTATTGCTATAATAGTCGGCAATAATAAAGAGCCGAAAGAGAACTCAATTCTTGCGTTCAGTAATGGTTTGAATGCTTTCGTAGTTTGCGAGCCATTAGTCTTCTCTCCACTAATGTCTCGTCTAATGATTGATATGTCATTATCTGTCGCTCTCTTCGCACTCATTCTGTGCCACAAATTAATAAATCAATTATAGACTCGACCATAAAAAAGTCAATTATTTCTTTTGTTTTTTCTCTCGGTGTTTGTATTTCGCGATTTATTGCTCTGTTTTTATGTAATTATTTGTATTGTGTTTCGGATTAAACTTTTTCTTTTTGAATATTTAAGTGAAACTAAAGAAGAAAAATATCGATAGAATAAAAGGGTTTTCCAGAACTCAGCCCATATTTAGTAGCTTTCCATTGAATCAATGCCATTGATATCTAATTAGTTTTACTTGTTTTCTATATTTTATCGATTCATTCTTTGATCTTTGATCCAAAATGAAGTTAAATGTATTTTTATGACTTATGCAAAACAAAATCGTCTTTCTAATAGTAAACATATGTTCAATAATTAATATAAAAGTCATTTAATTTTCTACGATTTCTAGGATCAGATTAAACAGCAACAATTTTAATTAGTTTATTCAATATACTCAATCTATTAACTTATTTCGAGAAATTGAAATGAAATTAGAATTTTAAATTTTAAATTTTAAATCACTTCATTAAATAAATAAATTACAATTTTCAAACACCTTAAATTCATTTGAATACAATTTCGTGACACAGAAATTGTTTTATTGATCAACAGTTTTGGCATTTATTAAATATGGATTTTGTTATTTTATGTTTATATTAAACACTTCGACACTATTATTATAATGAATTCAACTAAAATTGATATTTATTTTCGTAGTGTAGATGAAAAAGTTATTTTTCCTTTTATTTAATTCAATAATATATTATACAGTGTTTGGATAAGTAGTGAAATGAAAGTCTACTTAAGCTAAAGTGACAAATGCTATGAAAGGGCAATTGAATAGAGTATAAAATAGTGCGATATTTAACAGATGTGTTGAATGTTTTGTTGATTCATGTGAAGAGTATCTCTGAAAACGTGAATAGAAATGAGAGAATAAACGCTTTATTTGTGAAATCAAACTCTCTGTAAGACAATAAATATTTCGCTTTTCATGTGTTTTATCTATAAATACAATCAATTATAACGAAGTGTCCGTCAATTACTGAATTTCACTCTTTTCAACATTTATCACGAATTATCACAAAAGTGTCATAATTTTAATGATGTCTTAATTGCCGTATTCTGTAATCGAAATGTTAATTACTTTGCGATTATAATCACTATCTCTTGTTTCAGACAATATTTTTTCTCAACACAACATACAGTCAATAAATTGTTTTCATGAAAAACTTACGAAATTTTGAATGAAAAGTCAATTAATTAGAGTTAATTATGTCTTATGACGAGTACCGCGAAAGTCATTAGTTTTCGACAACAAATTGAAATAAACGATAAATAATTTCGTTTTAATTAATTGTTTACATTAAGCAAAATTGGGTTCAATTGAATCGATTCTGTGTTTAAAGAGAATATGTTATGAAAGTAATATTCTTTACCCTAAAAAGCACGGGAACTGGAGTTTTGTCTTTGGTTTCGCTGTTTTCTCTCTCGTCCGCCAATTCTCTGCGAACTCTCTCTACATATGGAGTGAAAGAGAGACTGACTTATGGATCGAGAAATTCAGTGAAAATAAAGTCTGTGTTTGTGTTGCGAACACATGTAATGTAATGCAATCGCACTGTTCGTTAGAGTCGGTAGCCTTTCCTCCAACACTCAGTGAACACTGAACACTGGATTCAAGAAGAATAAGTGCTCACAATATCCATCACTTTCTATCACTATATTCTCCATTATCTCCACTAATACTCCAAACACTTCTCTCTCGTAATAACGCATTCATTATTCAAGTAATCATTTATTTATACGATTGTTGTATAAAAGTCTATTTCTTATGGAAAGCATAATAATTGTGTTTATTTATTGAATTCTGTAATAAACGCGAATATATTATAAAAATAAAAGTAATATTTATTCGCATTCCGAGTGAAGTCTAAAATAAGTGTTATTTATCTCAATCTTGTCGTGTTTTCTCTCATGAAATATGATTTGAATCATAAGTTTGACACAAATTTAAATATTATATGAATTCTTGAATAATATATTTGCGTGAAAAAACTGAATAACAAGTGAAGTCTTTGTTGTGTTTATTATTATGAGATAAATATACCTTTTGTTGAGTTTATTATCGCCGAAAATACTTTACTATTCATTGGATATTATTATTAACTATCGTTTGATTCAAACATTATTTGACTTTTCATTGCTATTGATTTTTGTGCGAACATTATATTCACTCTGAATTGAGATAAACTTGTATTTTATGCAAAATATTGTGACAAAAGAAATACATTTATGTTGTAATGTAAATAATAGTTACGATTATTCGCCCGAAGCTGTCATTCGTTTCGCACCGGTATTTCAATGACATTA